CCGGCCTGACCAACCAAGCAACAACAACCCAAGGACCCCTCCGGAAAGCAGCAGTCTCATTCTTTGCCAGAAAAGAAGACAGCTGCAGAAGAAGACAGCTGCAGAAGAGGCCTGCCCCACCAGCCCCGAACCCCCGAAGGAGGAGGAGCCACCCAACGCCACCACAGGCTGCACGAAACAACCTGAAAGGTCCATGAATCACGAGACCAGAGGCCAGATTCACGAAGCAGTTACGCAAGCACTTATGAACCTGTCCATCTTTTCTCAATCTCTGGCGGCTTTGTTTACAATTATTAAACAGTTAATGAGCTCTGAAGCACCAGGAGGCTGTTTATAACAATAACAACAGTTGATTGGGAAGTTTTCATGCTTGTAAACTGTTTAATAAATGTAACCAAAGCTGTCAAAAACTGAGGAAAGATGTACACATTCGTAAGTACTTGCGTAACTGCTTCGTGAATCTGGCTCCAGGCGCGAGCAAACAGAGCGAGCTTCCCCCCCCCCCCCCCCCCCCCCCGCCCCCAACTGCCCTGTCAATGGAACAAACTGCGAAAGGACCGAACACCCAAACGGCGCAAAGAGCGATCCCCGCGCTAAACAGAAACAGACGACACTGAAGGCTGTGCTCGTGCCGAACCCTGGCACCACTGGCCTACCACGAGAGAAAGACCCTGAGCCCTGGCACGACCCTACCGGGATGGCCCCAACGAGCCCCCCAGAGGACCAACAATTCCGACATAGGATGGCAAATAACTGAAGCTGCCTGCAGATACTGCATCCCCGCGGACTTTGCAAACAGCAACAGACAAAAGGGCGAAGACAATCTAAGAGCCAGGGGCCCACCAAGGAAGAAGCGAGCATCGCCTGCCGACATGAGAGCCGAGAAGAAAAAAAACGCAAACCCGCATCCAGCAGTAGCGGTGCGAACAGCTTCAACATCGCAGACGACGTACACACCGCCAAAAGCAATGCACCAGACCCTGAGGCAGCCCCAGGCCCTTCACATCCACCACAAGCCACTCCAAAGACAGCTCAAGGAAGGAGAAGAACCACAGGGCCGAAGCCAGCAGACCCGTGTACGCAAATCCTCCACGACCAATGCAGCCGAGAGGGAAGGAACCTGCACATGAAGCTGCATCACACCAACATCCAGTGGAAGGGCAGGAGCGAACAAGCACTCATTGAGATGCTCAAATGCGCCCTCCAGGAAAACCTGCAACACTATCTGAGCCTCCCGCCACTCAAGCATGCGAGACTGACAGAACGTATGCCACGCCTCCAAAGAGAAGAAAGCACAGTCTGCTAACCAGGATGACTCCGGGACTTCATAACGGACCCAATAAGAACACGAAGATCCATACACAAAGGAACGTGGATCCATCACGAAAGCAAAATCCGGGTCGTGCAAGAGGTAAGCCACAACGACGTCCCACACCCACTGGGACCGGACACGGGAAGCCGGAAACCTCCGGAAAAACGGAACCGAAAAACCATCGGGGTCACGGAACTGAATTCGGGGAGGTGTAGACGCCAAATCCAACTGGTACAAGGAGGGAGACAAAAGAGAACTCCACACCCTGTAACACCAAGCCCCACTCCGAGGGTACAAAAACCCAAGCGGGGTCCAACGGGACCCAAGGCCCCCAAGTCAACCCCTCCACCGCCCCAGGAACCTCTCCTCGAGGTTCAGGGGCCGAGCCATCCTCCACACCCCCTGCCTCTAAAGAAAGGCAGGAACGAAGGGGGCCCACTGGTCAGACCCAGAAGCTCTGGCAGGAGGACCAGGCTCGAATGCCCCCTCTGCCACCCCAGAAGGGGACTTCCCCGAGACTGCCCAAGTCTCAACACCAACTAAACCCTGCCCTGACTCTGAAGCCCTCAGACGCTTCGGAGCCGGAAGCGAGGGGGAAGGAACCGGAAGGACTACAGAAGGGGAAGGACAAGGGAAAGAGGATGTAACCATAGCTGAAGCGACTCGCACCCGCAAGTCCGGGTCCCTAAAACCAAAACGGGGCAGTCTCGGGGCATCCAGGGAAGCAACTAACCTAGAGTGTTGCAGCAACTTAAACCTAGCATGCAACCCAGCTGCTGCATGCACCCTCATATCATGATCAGTAGCTTTCGTGAACTGGAGCCCTACAGGCAACAAACGGCACACGACTCCAGGTCAAAAGAATCACCGACCCAACAGGCAGCATGGTGGAGGCACAACCGGTGACTGTCCTCAAGAGACAAGGGGACAGAGCAATCTTCCGACTCACACGAAGCGAGAGGGGACTCAAGGGTCACATCCAGCCTTATTAATATGCTAAGGGAAGCCCAGGCAGGGTACTGCGAAGTGGCACCCAAGACTAACAAACAATCTGCTAATAGCTGAACCTCTGGGACGTGTCCACTCACAGGGGTCTAGCAAGGGGTACCACCAACCACACAAAAACTGAGAATAGATATAATGATAGATATATACACCCCCAACACAGAAGGGGCAATCACCAAGGCAGACCCTCCTCACCAGGTAGAAAAACAGAAGCAAAACCCCACAAGAGAACAACATACCCAGGAGGAACAGAGCCAGCCACTGTAAGGGGTGAAAACTAGCTGTGCAGTACCCCGCACCCCTACCAGTGACAAAAACTACCCCCTACCCAGAGGCAAACATGGGCAACAAAGACCCCAGTTGATTCCAAGGGCGGCCAAGTACTGAGTAATAAAAGACACAGCGGGGATAAAGCCCGAGGAGATTTGTGGAAGGTGGCCCCCAAGCCCCAAGGGTAGTACTTACAGGGCACCTAGGGAAGGTGGCCCTAGGCGCATGCAGCCCAAGTACTGAAGAATATTACTCCTGGCTTGCACACCACCAGTAAAGACAGTCCACGCCCAAGGCACAGAAACTGAGACAAATCGCTGGAGCAAGAGGCACAAGACTATGCCAGTAGCGCATCAGCCTGAGAACTGCAGGGTGGATCGCCGGCGTGGGGGAAGGTCTGGGGCTTCCGCTTCCCCTTCCCCTTCCCGGGGAGGGAGGGGGTTGCGTAGATAGCGGCGCGGCAACATCATGATGTCATGCTCAGTTGCTAATTTTCATTTGGAGAGTTCTTGCTTTTGGTAGCAATAGTTTCACCATAAAAGGAGTTTGTTTTGGGGCGCCTACCTTTCTAGGTGCCAGATCCGGTCGATGGCAGACAGAATGCTCCCAACGACACGGGGGTTTCTAAGGTCATTGCTCTTCGTGCCTCTCTTGAGGGTACCAGGTTCTGGCTAATGGTTCCTGGTAGGCAAGAACTCCGTGCACATTGACTGATGCCAGAAAGTTATACATATCCATTCAGCCTGGATAGCTCCAGGAAGCCGACAGGGCTCCCCCCAGAAATGTTTTGAAAAAGTGGCATACAGAAAAAATAAAAACCGCTGAAAACTACCAAACAAGCAGTCCCAACAATCCGCCCCCCCTCCCTTCCCGTCACCAAGTGGCTGTACAGGTCATCCCGGGCACAGGCAATGAGTTCACACCATTCAAGCCTAGGTACAACTCAGGCTCAAGAAAGAACAGAGAATGGGCAAGGACAGGGAGCTGCTAAGGTGACTTTGAGTGATATTTCATTACTCAAAGCTCTATTTCTAGGCAGCCCCATCAGTAGCTCCTCTTAGTTTTCTTCCCACAGCACCTCACATGAGAAAAACCTGCTTATACCTATCAAAAATTAATATTCATAATGAAACACATAAAAGACATAATGAGACTTACCCAGGTCAGATGGAGCCCCTAATCCCAGGCCAGGCCCCAGACATGAGGGGAACAGCCCAGAGCTATACACAGATGATAAGGTCTATCAAAGAAGTAAGGGATATCAGGTAGCTAATACCTGTTTAGAGTGACATAAGCCCCAGGTCCTGGCATGGGCCATAGACATGACGGTGAAAACCGCCAAGAGTACAGTACAGCACATGTACTGACCTCACTACCTCCAGATTAGGCAGGAGGCCAGCTGAGCCTGGCCAATAGAGAGACAATGTGAGAAAACTTGGCAACTCAGAATATCTGAGGAGGAAAGCACAAGTACGAAGAGGGAGGGCATAGGTAGCCACAGTTAAATAATAGAAATATCATTAAACATCTTCCTCAAAGAAAAACTCAGCATAATGCCAGTTTCCACTTCCCACACAAGCCAGATCCAAAACACACCCACGCACACATTAATACACAAATTAACTCATTGTAAACCACCGCATTGGCAACAAAGTACTGAAGCATTACCAATTACAGGGTTGAATAAATAAAAGTTTTTCTATAGAAGGAAACACGATAACCTCAGAGGACATCTCCTTGGTGATTATCAATATTTGCTTATGGAATTTGGAAAGAGAATCTTGAACTTACTAAAACCTCAGAAGATCTCTCTGGTGGTTAACAGTCCTCTCTATTGATGTTAAGAGCCAAAACAGACTACAATATAATTAAGTAATTATCAAAAGGCACCAAGCCAGAAAGGCTATGTAGCACTACAATATCAAGACACAAAATAATGAGTATATACAGTACTCTCATTAACACTTTGTATGGACATCAGAGCTCAAAACATGGATAGCTAATGTATCCAGTTAATGTGCCAGCTGAGAGTGGAATGGCTGAGGCCGCCACCTGATGGTGGTCACAAGGCAGCATATTAGTGCGTGTTTGGATTGATAACAGTGTTATTCGGTGACTGCCAAACATTTCTTGAAGGACGTGTTTAGTGGCTATCTTTTAAATTTAGTGAGCAGTTCACCCCCTGCCCATTTGAAGGGCTGAGACGGTTTTGAAGATGGTGGGTCAAGATCGTCTGCCAGGAGCCTGGCATATCCAATATGTCCCTAATGTGCTAGTGACAAGCTACTGGGAGCCACCAGGGCAAGCCCCAAAAAGAAATAATAAAAACACTGTGAATACTGTAAATGATTTGTGAGTTACTCTGTGCATGAGGGGAAAGATGACAACACATGACCATTGTCCAAGTTATTACCATTTTTGCTAGGGACTGTTGAGGAGATCTAGTTTCCAGTGAATGAGGTGGTGAGCCAGCAGTAGTTGAGACTGTGCTACTTGTGGTTCCATTTGTACTGGATGAAGATACCACTGGAGTTGCAGGAATCTCGACTGGGATTGCTTGACCATTAGGTAATCTGAAAAATACAATTAACAAATTTAAAAAAAAAAATAGCGTTGAATGTAATGAAACACCATTTTCTGGGTGAGACCCGGGGCTCCCCGGAGTTATCCAGGCTGATATGGATATATTAGACTTTTCGTTCAGTTAATGTGAATGGAGTTCTAGGCCAAGTGGGGACCATGAGCCAGAACCTGGCCCCCCTCAGAGAGAGACAAGGAGCAATGGCCTATAGAAATTCACATGTGGTTATGGAGCATTCTATGCTTGCCATCGACCAGGTCAGGCACCCAGAAAGGTAAGCATCCCAAAACAAACCCCTATTCTGGTTGCAACTACAGTACTACTGAAAGTCAAACGAGTGGACAGAACTCCCCAAATGAAAAGAAGCAAACGACCATGACGTCACCATGTCCCTGTGCTGCTTGTCTGAGCAACACACCCACCTAGGGAGCCAGTCGGCCGAGCGGACAGCACGCTGGACTTGTGATCCTGTGGTCCTGGGTTTGATCCCAGGTGCCGCCGAGAAACAATGGGCAGAATTTCTTTCATCCTATGCCCCTGTTACCTAGCAGTAAAATAGGTACCTGGGTGTTAGTCAGCTGTCACGGGCTGCTTCCTGGGGGTGGAGGCCTGGTCAAGGACCGGGCCGCGGGGACACTAAAAAGCCTGAAATCATCTCAAGATAACCTACCCGGGAGGGGGAAGGGAGAGCCCCAGACCCTCTCACCAGCGATCCACCCTGCAGTTCTGAGGCTGGATATCAAAACATGCGAAAAAACGCCGACCAGAGGGAGGGAGGGTTACCGGGGAGCCTCCAGGTCTCACTCAGAAAATGACGTTTCGTTACATTCAACGCTGGTTTTCTGGGGCTCTCCGGAGCTACTTCCTCAAAGAGAAGGAAAAGAGGGATACACCCGGGAGGCATATGTCACACTCAACTCAAATCGAAAGCAAGACAATCAACGGCATCGAAGGACCCAGTAAACAACCCAGGAAACCCGAGCCCAGGCACAGGAAAGGAGGGAAACCAGGCCAACTCAAAGTGCAACCCCGGACACAGAAGCCGAGGAGTGCAAACAACAGCAGAGAGCGGGAACCGGACACAACACATGATGCACCCCCGGCCGAACCAACCAAGCATTAACAACCTAGGAACCCCTCCGAAAAGCAGACGTCTCAGTCTTCTCAGAAAAGAAGAAGACGGCTGCAAATGAACAAACCAAACACCAGAGCCAAAAGAGAAGAAACCCCTGCACTGAAGGAGAGTATGAAGCTCCCCGACTCGACCCGCAGAGGCCAATGCCAACAGGAAAAAAAAAAAGAGCCCAAGCAAAACAATCCTGAACCGAAGGGGTCACGCCAAACCCAGGGGAAGAGATAAGAGAGCACCCTGTCCAATGACCAGGACAGCTCAGGTGACGCATGAGCAAGCCGAAGGTGAAGCAATACCCAAGACAGCTTGCAAAACGGTGCAGAAGGAACATCAATGCCAAAAACAAGCTGCAGCGGCTTCGCCAGCGTCGCACGATACGAGGTGACAGTATTTGGCAGATGATGATGGTCCTGAAACAACCATGAGAGAAAGGACAAGATAACCTTAATAGAAAGCAAAGTACACCTACACAGAGACAAAAAAAAAACGGAAGGTCCGTCAGGAAAATTCATACAGCTGCCGAGACGAAGCATGCAGGGCGGGACACCAGTAATGAAACCACCTGATCACCATACAGATGGCGAGAAACGAGTCAAAATACCAGATGCGAAGACTCGAGGAGATCAAACCAGCCACGTAATGGACTAGACCAATCTGCTGAAAGAAGCAGAGCTGCAGGAAAACCCTGGGTTTGAACACCGAGCAAGCAACGCCTGAAACCAAGGCTGGCCCTAACACCAAGGAGCCAAGAGGACTACTCTTCCCTGGCAAGTCTCCAACCAAACTAGGACCAGGAGCAACAGCTGAACTGGGGGAAGAGATACATGGAACCCCCACCACGACAAGTCCTGCCGAAAGCAGCGACCCCAAGAACTCAGCAGACGAGTCACCCGAAGTGATCAGCCCCAAAGAGCTAGAGACCGCATCGAACCCCCGCTGTTCAGACAAGAACCACAAGGAAACGGTCCAAATGGAGCCTGATCGTCGATCCCCGAGCGACCCGAATGCTCTGGGGCATTCAAATGCAATTACACTGCCGCGAATGCCTACACCATGCTGTGAGCCCGACAGAAGGACAGACCCCACCGTCCACAGCCAGCCTGGTGAGCACTGGCCACAAAGCCCCAGCCAAGAGACGACTCGTCCATGAACACATCGAGTGAGGGCTTGGATAGGCTCCAAGGCACTGAACTCCAAAAAACCCGAAGGGGAAGCCGGAGACGCAGCAGCCAATGCAAAGCCCCAAGAGGCCGAACTCAACGATCGCAAGAGTGGCAGAAGGGACGTCCCCAAAGGAACCAGAACAGCCGACACATCCAAACCCAACCCAGCGGGTAGACCATCACAGCAAGGCCAGGCTCCCGCACAACCCTTGAGCGACTGCTGGGTGACCTGGAAGCCCCCCAAAACAACCGAAGGCGGGACCACAGCCTAAGCAGAGACGCCGGAGGGGGAGACAGGGCTCTCTTCACATACCTGATGAAAGGTATGTGAAGAGACCCTCCCGAGTTGCCAAAGGAGGGGCCCGAGAGGAAGCAAACTTCTATAAGGTCTATCCCGACGGGCCCAAAAGCACATGTAATTGAATCCTAGGGAAAGCTGCACCCAAATCATACTCCTACCGGGAGGGAGGGACGGAGGATAAGGAAACCCCTTTCCCTGCAAAAGAAAACTATCCTCAGAGGAACAAGAAACCACCTGGAGTCACATGGGACTCAAAGAGACCCATATCAGACTCCTCTCAAGCCCCAGAAGCCGCACTCGAGGGGCCCAGGGCAGAGCCTGTATCTATGCTTACCATCCGAGATAGAAAAGCAGACTCCAAGGGAGAGGCTTCAGAAGATGGGGGGGGGGCTGGCTAGAAGGAAAACTCCGAAGCCTTGGCAGGACTAGCCGTCTCAACTGCCTTTGTGCCCAATTCGAAGGGGAAAACCCCCAAAAGCTGGCCAAGCCACATCATGAGCTAAATCTTGCTCCAACCTGGAAACACTTAGACATTTTGGAATCAAAAGAAGGGAAGGGGAAGGGCAGGGGAAGAAGATCAGAAAAAGGGCGAACCATGTCCAGAGAAGGAAGAGGAGGGGCAGAGACTTGAGATGGTGTTCACCAGAACCTCCATTTCTGAGTCCCTAAATACCTGTTGGGGCAGTTCTGGGGAAAATCCAATCAGACACATAACCTGGATGATTGTAATCAAAACAAACTAATAAAGCAGAAGCTGCCTGATCCAAACTAACCTCATCAGGAGGGTAGGAAAGAAGAGCACATCCTACAGTACTCAGGGATGATGGTGTCACTGACCCTACAAGCAGCATGACGGAGCCAGAACGAGTTATCGTCATCTTGTGGCACAGATGACGAGCAACCCTCAAAGCAAAATCAATAGCAGATTTGGGGGATATTCATAGGACCACTGAACAAGCAGAAGATTACCAGGGCCTGAAAGTTAAACCAAGTAGGACACCCAGGCACTGGGAATGCTATGCCAGACCTAAAGAAAGGCAAACCAGCCTGGGCTACACAGCTGTGAAGGCCAACCCTCGGTTTGCTAAACAGAAGCCAGCCAACCACCAATGCATCCCGCCAGGCAACATCGTTCCCGATCCGGGTTAAGACAGAGGAGTCACAAGACCTGATTCACCTTGGGTAAGTGCAAGGGCAGCACTAAGGTGCTGCCACAGGGAAGGTAACCTGAGCACATGCAATTCCAAGCACTATATGCCAGGTACATGCTAAGCACTATATGCCAGGTACATGCTAAGCACTATATGCCAGGTACATGCTAAGCACTATATGCCAGGTACATGCTAAGCACTATATGCCAGGTACATGCTAAGCACTATATGCCGGGTACATGCTAAGCACTATATGCCAGGTACATGCTAAGCACTATATGCCAGGTACATGCTAAGCACTATATGCTGGGTACATGCTAAGCACTATATGCCGCCAGGTACATGCTAAGCACTATATGCCTGGTACATGCTAAGCACTATATGCCGGGTACATGCTAAGCACTATATGCCGGGTACATGCTAAGCACTATATGCCAGGTACATGCTAAGCACTATATGCCGGGTACATGCTAAGCACTATATGCCAGGTACATGCTAAGCACTATATGCCGGGTACATGCTAAGCACTATATGCCAGGTACATGCTAAGCACTATATGCCAGGTACATGCTAAGCACTATATGCCAGGTACGTGCTACACTGCAGCGTACAAGAAAAGTCACCAAGGGCAAAGACTCAAAAATAACTTGGCTGAACAGTGGGTGCCCACAGCGCAGAGGTGACCCAGGAACTACTACAATAGCCACTTGACTTTAAATGCATCAGTATTAGAACTGACAGCTCAGACCCCTTGAAGGGGGTAAGCACCCTTTCCCCTTCCCCCCAAATGAGTGAGGAGGTGGGGCAAATGAGCTCACACTAATTTCAAGAGATTTTATTGTTTACATAGTTGTGGGAGTTAATTAGCTGGGTTGCGAGGGTTCTGTCTCTTTTGAACCCAGCAGTGGTTTGTTTCAACTCCCTGACTTTCTGGACGCCTTTCCCAGTGAAGCGGTGAAATACCACCACGCCCTCAACTTCTGTGAGGGGGGGGGGGCTAGGTTCTGGCTCTATTCCTTGACAGGCCTAGGAAATACACGGCTGATGGGACCTGGTAGATGGGACTCATCTCAATGTATACCTTCAGGGAGACACAATGGGCTTTCCCCAGAAAACCAGGACTCACAAGAGTACTGTGGTGTGAATGAGGAGCATAACCACAACATCAAAGATGTTTATCCCAGGCAAAATAGCTGAAGCATTAAGGCTAGGGGGAGCGAGAAGGATGGTGCACAAGTTAACTACCGAGTCATGTGCTTCACAACTAGGTGGTTCATTTGTTTGGGGTTCATTGTCTCATTTATATGCTTTGTTTACTTTGTTAATTGTATGTTTTGGCTCACCCACCTTTCTGGTGGCCTTTTTGTGGTGAGGGTAATTTAGTATCCCTTCCACTTCTGAGAATGGGAGGGGCCAGAGTTTGGCCTTTGGTCAAAAAGGCTTACAATGTCTCATAAGGACTTGACATGGATTCAATTGGGTAGAGCTATTTTTGTTAATATTCCTTTAAAGTGTAAATAAACCAGTTAATATCTAACCTGAGAAGAAGCTGAAGGACTGTGGCACTTGGAGATGGAGGTACACTGCTGGGTGCTGCACAGAGGGCTGGCTGCTGGAGAGAAGTGTGTGACACCCCGCTGACCCTCACACTACCACTAGCCACACCAACATCTACCATGCCCAAGGACTGTGTCACAGATGGCCTGTAGATCAGGAAGAATTCTCAAGTGTTCTTCCTATAACAATTATGCTTAAAGAGTACAGATTGTGTTAGCTGTAAAGATTTGAGGTATCAGTTTACTAAAGAAGATTGAAGACTTTGAGCTGAAATTTCACACATACTATATTTTCTGGCATATAAGACACCTATTTTTCAAGAATTATTATTTTAAACACCCTATTTTACTATGTTTCATCATGTATTTAATGAAAGTGGTTTTCAAGTGGTTTTGTAGGGAAAACATGATTGTGTACACGTAAATACTATATATATTTGGTTTGTGGTATGCAAAGAACATGCATACCACCTGAAGAAAAATATAGTAGATTCCTTGTCAAGTTCTATTCAAAGTTCTCGACTGGAGAGAAATTTCTTTCCATTTCTACTTAGACAATAAGTTAATTTATATCTTTGGTTAGAAATGAGCACATTATCTACATCATTCCAACACATCTATGTATTTCCAATAAACATAAGTAGGCATGGTTTTGAAGAGGAAAAATATAGTAAAATGATTTGTATATTATTCCCTTTTATGGTTAGGAATAGATACAATCAGTTCACAAGCTGCTGAAAACTATAGTATCTGTCCTACAGAGGTTGAGATGGCTTAACTCTAAAGTAACTCGTTCCTTGCCCGAAACGCTATGCACACTAGTGGCTTTAGGTATTGTATGTACTAGCGCTATCTATAAATCCAACATTATGTTTTGTAACTAATCCTCTATGTATGTACTTTTACCTGAAAACATTTGATTTGATTTGATTTGATAAATTAAAATTCCTGTACATTCTGTGCCAAAATACTTGTGGATTTCTCAGCAAATATTTTATTACAGTAACAAAGAGCCCATTGTTGTTTCAATACCTTCCCTTCAAATGTAGGAGGAATTATCAACAAATCCTTTACAAAAAGGAACTTTGTCCATTCCTTCAGTGAGTTCCTGATCAACTGGGCTGTGGTGCCTGTCAGAAATGGAGCTTCAAGCATAATAATCTGCCTTATAACGCTACCAAATTGGAGGTTCTTTTTATGAATAAAAATAGTAGGCAGCAATCTCAAAAACCAATTTAAGTTAAGTAGAGCTGAAGCTACTTAAAACTCAATATTGCGTCGCCTCAGCATGGAAGTGGCAGCTTCCAATCACAGACACCATTTCCAAATCGTGACGTATTTGCAGTGAAAGCACTCTGCCTGGGCTGGAGTCAGTGGGCTAACATTTACCTCGTCCTTCCAATTAGTTGGCATCATCTCATGTTGCCCAGGTTTAAGATATTTGTGGGCTGCCTTCTTTTACTATCACCTATAAATCTGCAGCACGATCTACCTCAACAGCTTGTGGTTCTATGCTGATCTTCATGAATGGAGTTTCCAAGCCTCGTGCACTGTCACCTGTATGGGGAATTGGGTGGTGGACCTCCTGGTGTTGCATCTCTCTTCTTGAAACAGCAATGTAAAATGGCTTTATGTATCTACCCTTATTTTGGCCTGGGCAGTATTCAACATTCCTTCTGGCATTTGTCAGCATTACATTGTGATTAAAAGCCAGGACCATACAAACAATATTTGTTTATTTCATAGGAAATATATTTAAAAGTAAGGAATCTATATGTAAAAGTAAAATGAATACCTAAATAAATCTATACAGTGAAGATCTTTATTCGTTTCTTTCACCGTCTTTCTATTACACGACTTGATAATGTTCCAAGATGGACTGAAACATCATTGTTTTTTTCATTTTCTGATGTGTAGATTTATCTTGCTTCAGGAGGGTTCTTTCTTCCTTCCTGCCTTCTGCCTCTTTTGACTCGGAAGGTCATTTTTCCGTTCCTTCTGCAGGTACGGGACTTTGCTTCTCTCGTGAATCTGGCATCTTTAGGGCTTAGATCGGGTTTGGTCTCGGGGTTGTGCTGAGGAGTTGTTTTTTTCCTGGCTTGTGGAAAATAGTGTTAGACCAAGCCCTCTGTTTTCTTTGGGGTTTGGCACAGCTCTTGCCATTTATGAGCTCTTGCAGAGAATTTGGTGGGCTCCGTAACAGATGGCTGTTCAGGCTTTCTGAAGCCTGGGCCGCAAAGGTTTATAGTATTGCTCCCTTAGTGACCAATTTGATGATACTATGTCAGTGATACTATGCTCCCTTAGTGACCAGTTTGCACTTCTTGGCTGTGGTTGAGTAGCTCAACCACAGCCCAGACTAGCTAGCTGGTCTGACTAGCTACCCTCTGACTAGCTCCAGGGTGGCCTAGTTGTGTTTTCTTTGGTGCCAGGTGTTGCTACCCTGTCACCTGCCATTCTGACTTGGTTTTCCTCCTTATTTTCCTTCTTTTGTCTTATTTTTTCAGTGGCTTTGCCATGTTTCTCACTCCCCTCCTTCGAGAGTTGATGATCTTTTTCCTTGCCAGTCTCATGTTTCAGCTTGGTCCCTACCCCTTTCCTAGGTTGGGACCTCGCCTGTGATTGGTTGGGATAGGCTTCCAGTGGGGCCCGATTCTCAGATGGCAGCCCTTACTTCAGGAAGCTTTTGCTCCAGCACTTTAGCAGTTTGCCCCTCGATGGTGCTGTGGGAAGACTTCTGGTCTCTCTTGCCAGTTTGTGATCTCACCTTTCGTGAACTTCCCGAGTGGTTCCCCAGGGTCTCTGGTGGCACTAATCCAATTACCTTCTCTCATTAGATTCAAGAATCTTAGTCTACTGCCCTTCCCTCATCTTCATGCTGTCGTAGAGACTTGGTTGGTCTCTGGTATAGTTGAATTCAATGCCTCTCTCTGGTGTGTATCCCAGTTGTTCCCAGTCCCTAAGTGCGACTTGTTAGATCTATGGTACTTACTTGACTTTTCGGGTTTTAACTGCTTCATTCCCTTTTCAATCACTTTATCCAAGATTTGCCTGGTGTTGCATGCGGATTCCTGGATGGTGTCCCTTGACTTTAAGAACTCATACTGGTGTGTTCCTTTTCATCATGATGAATATGGTTGGGAGATATTTATACAGTATATGGAACAAATAAAGCAAGAGCTTGGCAATGCAATGCAATAGTGACCAGACTATGCCTGGGAAACAGAGGTGTCTGGCAGCTTTCTCAAAACTCAAATGTCGAATACACCATGTATCAACTTTGTGAAAGAAATCATGCATTCCCTTGAACAATATATTGTAGAATGCCCTATACTGACCAACTTTTGCTCTCCCTGGGTTGAGATATGGTGAACACTGTAAACTTTATCTGAATACTGAAACACTTTAAAATATACTTGTCCTATACCCAAGATTGACTATAATGCATCAGTTATGTAATATATTTGATATAATTATAACTTGAGCTTATAAAAGCACCTTAATTACCTTTTGTGGTTGAGTGCTTAATAAAACACTAGTTTCTACAGCATCTATCTTACCCTGTAAAAGTAAGAGAGACAAATGTGTGTGTAAACTGGTCAGAATTTCATTTCACCTTTGTAAACACACACATTAATCACATTTTGTGGTTGAGTACTCAATAACCAATCATACTGTACGTAAGAGAACATATCTCGAACCCTGATTATGAAGGATAAACGTTAATGCTAGTGTTGTATGTGGGTTAGCATTGTGCTGTGTGCCTGATGTAACAGACCTGACCACAGATCCATAAACACATTGAGCGACAAGGGAGGATGGCACACCAAAAAACCTGAAGGGGAAGTCGGTGAAGAAAGAACCGATGAAGGGTGGGAGGGGATTGAACCTGCTTGTCACTGCAGTGGTGTTAGGGACATAACCGGTGAAACTGGAACAATGCCTGGAGTCAAACCCTGTCTAAGAAAAAGGCAAGATAGGCAAATTTCAGGTTCACACACAACTGCTTGACAAACCCGTGAGCCACCTGGGGCCGAGCCAAAGAAACTGCAGGAGAAGAAAAGCTGACGGCAAAGACGTCAGCTTTTCCACCAGACGGCAAAGAAACTGTAGGAGGAGAAAAGTTGCCGGATGTAGAGAGAGAGTCACTGGCTGACAGTCCTAAATGAGACTCACCAAGTCCGAACCTGGGATGTCACCAACTGGGACTTCCACTTGTTCACCAGGAATCCATACCTGGTGAGCTGGGAAGAACAAGATCCCTGGCCAGCTGACACGCGGACTGACTGGGAGACTAGCCACCTCCAGCCAGTCATTGAGGTAGGGCCAACACATAAACCCCTAACAAATGCAGCTGGGTCAAAACTACCCGTACTAGCCTGGTCAACATGCAGGAGGGAAAACCCTAAAGTGATAAGCATTATGCCCCACAACAAACCTAACCAATCTCTGAACCCATGGATGATTAGGGACAAGCCAGTATGCATCCTTGAGGTCCAGTTGAGACATGGACACCATCCCTGCAACCCTAACCCCCCCCCCCCCTTGCAATAGCAGGCAAACCTGGGACAAAGTGGTCATGTGGAGGGTTGGGAAGGGGGAGTTCAGACCCGAGAGTTCAAGGATGTCCCGGACATCTGCTAAATCCTGCTTTGGGACTGGGAACAACCAAGATACCCACCAAAAGGACAAGGTTGGCTCGACCATGCACAACGCAGAGCCCCGAGCAAACAACACCTGATCAATCAGGAGGCAAGAGAAAGCCACTGCTGAAAAAATTTGAGACACTATATTCTTGGGAAAGTGGAGGAGCAAAAAGGGAAGATGGCCACAAGGGTAAGAGAACATGCCAAATCTAAACAATGGGACAGCACAACTTGATGACACATGAGGTGGTCCAAATAAAATTATGCCACTGCCTCCTGAAGGGAAAGGGCAAGCATCTTGGGCAAGGCCCCCCAGGGCTGGAACCGCAGGCTGTAAGGCCTCAACATTTGGAGCAGACCCCAGCAAAGCCATATCTTCACAGAAACACTCGCTAAGCATTGTCTCGTTGAGGGTACACCCTCATAGCCTCCACAAGGATCCAGACATGCAAGACTGCTGCCAGGTGTGAATGTGCTCTGTGGTCATCCAATCACACAGGGGAAAAATCCCTTAGTATATGTAGCTCAAGACACAAAGAGCCAAGCCCACACAACAAGTACACAACAAGTTGGAATCAAAACACACATGTGAAGTTACACTAAAACTGGAAACAATACAACAAAGCAAATGGCCCCAAGAGGACAAATCCAAGGAAGGCCAGCTTGGATCTTGGGATCGCCCATGAACTGACATGACCACATGAACTACAAAATGGTGTGGTGACACCAACATCATCAATAGAACATCATGGAGAGCTGGCTGGGAGACATTCCAGGAAGCCTGGTGGTGGTAATCAGTATTAACGAATTTTTAGTTCGGTTGAGTGAATCTCTTTTTCCATGTAAGTCGTTTGGTGGTTTTTCGAGGCTCCATTTTCTGTAACCCTTCCAGTTGTCTGTAAAGCTGCACTGACTTTATGGAGACTTTTTCTGGCGACATAGCAGACTGTCACTTGCTCTCTGCAGGTCTGTGAGGAAGGAGGGGGGGGGGGGGGGGGGGGAAGTCAGATTATGGCTCTGATCCCTAGTAGGCCAGAATTACAGAATTAAGCCATGGCTGATGTAACCTTTCAGTATGAAGCAATGTCAGGAAGATAGCTTCAGGAAGCCACAAGGGCCTCAATCCAGAAAGCTATCTTACATTTATATACCACAAATAATACTTAAACACCACTAAAATCATTGTTTATGTATTATTTTGTGCAGAAACATGTACTGTATCACTAACTATAAAAAATCCAGTAAATTTGGTAGTAAATATATACAAAAATGCAAATTTAGGGAAATCCTGATTTCCAGTAAGTCCAGATCAGGTCAGGCATGATATAATTCTGACTTTTTAAACACGGCTGTTAGATGTTTATTTCCTTCAAAGATATTAAATAATTATTATTTTCTTACATCTTTTATGTTAAGAAAATTGTTGAAACTCAAGATGGAGATGGTGGCAAGAGATGACAGTACTAACCCAGCAGTGATGACAGGTGTAGGTGTTGATATCACAGAGCTTGTTTGTTGTCCTGCATCTGCTGCTGAGCACACATTTAGAGACAGACGTCTTGGTACTCGTTCACTTTTATCAGCTTCCCCCTCAACTTCTATTACTCTGGGAAATAAATTCATCTCACAGTAAGAAAAAGACCATTAAAACATTGAACAATATACATAAACTGAACTGTAATGTCCTTAAAAAAATATAAAAGAACTGTACAAAGTTTAATACTAAAGTAACCACAAATTATATTCCTGGTTAATATTATATGCTGAAACAATATTGCATTTATTGAACGCAGATGAGTCATTAACATAGGATCAACAACAAACCTTTTTTTTCCTTTCCTTCCTAAGCTTTGTTGGCCGAGTTTTTGCCAGCAATATAAATTTCAAGTGTGAAAGATAGGCATACATCCCAAATGTGAACTGCATGGAGGCCTACATCATGAAAAGCCAGAAGCATGGCTATCTGCAGTGCCCAACCCCATGGGGACAGTGGATGAACCGATTCCAGACTGATAAGGCAACAGATCACCAGGGAACAATCTAATGAAGGTGGGGGGGGGGGAAAGGATGAAGCTCTAGTGGACATGGATATGATGAATCGCTATCCAAACTGTTCCATATTCCTGGACCACAATGTGCACCCACCACAGACAATGAACTTACTGTCTCTGACCAATATAGTGACATCTGGAAAGACATCTTAAGCAGAAATCTGACACATTCATAAGCAGCTTGACCGATGGAAGAGGAAACCATTGAACAGAGCTATTTGGGAGGGCCTGAATAGAAAAATGACAAATCAATATCTTCTGCAAACAAAGTAAGGCATGCATCATGAGGCCCTCACTGTAGTTAAAAGTTCTGAAGTCCTTCTGGTAGATCGTTTATGTGGACAATAAACATTATTGGTGCAAGAACTGAACCCCCTGTGGTACTCCGCTAGTAACACGCCTCCAGTCAGATACACTCTCTCTGATTACCACCCTCATCTGTCTGTCGGTTGATTGTGCAAAAAAAAAGCTTGTGGAACATCTGGAGCGGAAGAACTTTGAAACAACATCAGCATGGGTTCAGGGATGGCAGATCATGACTCAGGGGATAATTAAAATTCTATTACCAGGCAACAAAAATCAGGCAAAAAATAGAGGGGTAGGCAGACTGCATATTTTTGGATTGCCAGAAAGCCTTTGACACAGTACCACATAAAAGACTAGTGCACAAACTGGAGATTCAGGCAGGAGTGAAAGGGAAGGTACCCCACTGGATAAGGGAGTACCTAAGCAACAGAAGACAAGGAGTCACTAATAGGAGTGAGGTCTCGGAGAGGTGAGGCATTACCAGTGGAGTCCCTCAGGGATCAGTTCTTGGACCTATACTGTTCCTGATACATACATGTAAATGATATCCCAGAGGGAATAGACTCTTTCCTCTCAATGTTTGCTGATGATGAAAATTTGTTATTATTCTGTTTAAATATATTAAACAAAATTATCTTGTTTTTTTATTTTGCCCTTCTATTTCCTCCACTAGGTGGAGGAAATAGGAGGCCAGACACTGGATACCGAATTGGAGATGAAGTCCTTCACGAAACGGAGAGAGAGAAAGATCTAGGAGTAGATATCAAGGTAAAACTGTCTACTGAAGCCCACATGAAAAGAATAACATCGGCAGCATATGCAAAGCTGCCTAAACATCAGAACTGCCTTCATAAACCTGTGTAAGAAATCTTTCAGAACCTTATATACCACATATGTAAGGCCAATCCTGGAGTATGAGGTCCCAGCATGGAGCCCGTACCTTGTCAAGCACAAGACGAAGCTGGAAAAAGTTCAGACTCGGTATGCCACTAGGCTAGACCCAGAACATGAGTTATGAGGAAAGGCTGAGTGAACTGCACCTCACGTCACTGGAAGACAGAAGAGCTCGGGGGAGACATGTTCACCACATACAAAATTCTCAGGGGAATTGACAGGGTAGACAAGGATGGATTATTTAACACGGGTGGTACAAGCACAAGGGGACACAGGTGGAAGCCGAGTACCCAAATGAGCCACAGAAACATTAGAAAGAACTTTTTTCAGTGTCAGAGTAGTTAGTAAATGGAATGCACTAGCAAGTGATGTGGTGGAAGCTGACTCCATACACAGTTTCAAATGTTGATACTGTATGATGGAGCACAAGAAGCTCAGGAATCTGCATACCTGTAGAGTAAACGGCTGAGAGGCGGGACCAAACAGCCAAAGCTCAATCCCCGCAAGCACAACTACGTGAGTACAACTAGGTGAGCTCAGCTATCTAGAGAATCTATCGAAACTGATGCTGCTTCAGTTCTTGCACCGGTAATGTTCATTGTATACATAAATAATCTACCAGATGGAATACAGAATTATATGAACATGTTTGCTGATGATGCTAAGAAAATAGGGAAGATAAGTAACTTAGATCACTGTCATACCCTTTAAGAAGACCTGGACAGAATAAGTACTGTAAATGGAGCACCACTTGGCACATGGAATTTAATGTAAATAAATGCCATGTTATGGAATTTAATGTAAATAAATGCCATGTTATGTGGAATAGGAGAACATTGACCCCACACAACCTATAAATTATGTGAGAAATCTTTAAAGAAGTCTGATATTGATATATATATATATATATATATATATATATATATATATATATATATATATATATATATATATATATATATATATATATATATATATATATATATATATATATATATATATATATATATATATATATATATATATATATATATATATATATATATATATATATATATATATATATATATATATATATATATATATATATATATATATTATATATATATATATATATATATATATATATATATATATATATATATATATATATATATATATATATATATATATATATATATATGTCGTACCTAATAGCCAGAACGCACTTCTCAGCCTACTATTCAAGGCCCGATTTGCCTAATAAGCCAAGTTTTCATGAATTAATGTTTTTTCGTCTACCTAACCTACCTAACCTAACCTAACCTAGCTTTTTTTGGCTACCTAACCTAACCTTACCTATAAATATAGGTTAGGTTAGGTTAGGTAGGGTTGGTTAGGTTCGGTCATATATCTACGTTAATTTTAACTCCAATAAAAAAAAATTGACCTCATACATAGAGAAAAGGGTTGCTTTATCATTACATAAGAAAAAAATTATAGTAAATATATTAATTCAGGAAAACTTGGCTTATTAGGCAAATCGGGCCTTGAATAGTAGGCTGAGAAGTGAGTTCTGGCTACTAGGTACGACATATATATATATATATATTCACCTATACATACATACATACATACATACATACATACACTGTACAATCTGTTATTAGTATAATACAACACTGAAATTTAAAACTTTTCTTACCTTAGTGATGAGTGAGGTCGAGTGCAACTGGTTGGTATATTTTGTGGATGAGATGGCACAGATATACTGCAGGTGGTGAGGGTGGCTGTTGAGTTTGCTGTAGTGGATGCAATAGACACATCATCTCGGGATGTGGAGGAAATAGTTTCATCAGAATCTACAGGAGGCAGCACTCTAGGTGTGTCGAGGCTTTCCCCTGTATGACCACCCACTGCCTGGGTGTGCATCAAAAACATATTATTTATATAAAACAAAGTGTAAATATTTTTGTTTGTATTTAATATAATTTTTGTATTTAATAATTATGATTTTCAAAAACAGCATGGGAAAAAGTCAGGGAAATTTGAATGCTTTAATTTTTATTCCGCGGTTTCCTAGGCTACCTTTCATGTTTGATACGTTATTGGAGAATACTGGAAGAATTCTTGTCACTTTTGTAGTTGTCGGCCATCTAAGACCAGTCATATATGTGTGAGCTAATCCTAGTAAAAGTTACATTATTACAAATTATTTTGACTCATTTTACCTCAGTGATTGAGTGGTGTGATCTAAGAAGTGATGCTCTTCTAAATTGCTCATCAAATGGATTTAGACTTATTTCCTGGAAAAGTCCCACTTCTTCACACTGTCGCAAGAACCTCGTTGGAGTTGGTGTCTGATCTGTAAAATACGGATGCTTTTAGAAAAAGTATATATACAGTACATATTTTTAAGAAATAAGACTAATTAGTTATTGCATGATGCTGACAATGAGTCACAATAATGTGGCTGAAGATATGACGACCAAGCCACACATCAGAAGATAGAGCGCCTCAATACTGAACTAAATAAGAATGTCCCATTGGGAATTCATTAACTGAAGGAAACCCTGGGAAGGAATCCTAGAAAAGCTAATGCCACATAAACAGGAATGTCACCCAAGGAAATTCAGCACCTCCGACCAACAAAAGGACACCAAGCAATGGACCCAACCAAGAATCAAGAAGACAGAGAGAAGGGCTTAAAACCAAAGTGAAGAGTATCCCAAACCTAGAACCCAGAGGGTAACTACAAAGATGTTGGAAGTAAAACTTTCCATAGTAAGGAAACCCCACCAAGGACAGAGGCCTCATTGCCACCACTGAGAAATGTGGAAGGTGGAAACCAAAACACAAACACACCCAGACCAGTAATGAATGCAGGAAAGATACAGTGAGGTCAAGGACATGCAAAGAATATAAAAGCCCCCATCCCTCTACACAGGATCTGAAAAGACCCAGGCTGAAATTGAGGCAATACCCACTAGCAGTCATGGATCCCAGCTGTGCCAGCTGATGCAGTCAAATTGGAGTGCTGAACCATGCAGACTTGTAGGAAAGGACAGGAGGAGCAGGACACAGGATATAGCAGCAGCTCAGGGTCATCTAAGGCTCAGTCAGCATGCCACTTCACTCAAGCCCCACCCCCTCCAAACCAAACCTCTCTACCTGGGTAAACAGGGTAAACAGCCATAGTAGACAACCAACAAACAATCTGGCAAAAAACCACAGGGCACACAGCACAAGGACACCGCTCAGAAACCCTTGGAGACAGTTTAGGCACTGCCAAAAAAAGCTCAGAAACCCACCAGACGTACAGCCAAAAAACTCCAGGGCATACAACCCAGAAATCACTGGGTTCCCAGTCCAGGAGCCTCCCGACACACATCCTGGAAACCACTGGCCACACAGTCCAAGAACTGCAAGGCACACTGCCAGGAAACCTCCAGGCACACAAGAGCGAGAAACACATAATATTGGAGAGGGTACATGGAGACAAAACCGGTCACTGGAACAATACAGAACCAAAGACTCCACCAAACAGCACAGAGCTGAGCAGTCGAGTAGTAGGGAAATGACTCGTCTCATGTTGGTATATATATGCATGTTACATATGAAGCAAATTTGCAGTGGGGGGAGGGGAAGTCTTAAACACATCCTAAGAAATAGAAGAAATCAAAATGCACCTTACCAATAATGAATCCATGATGCTTGACTAGAGATGATGTATGATGCTCTCCATTGACTGTGAGCTGCATCTCATGACGTCGACGATGCACAGTTAGATGATCCTCATTGGTAAAGCTCTGGGGAAAGACTTGTTATAAACTTAGAAAATATTTATATCTAATGCATAACTTATCTCCAGCCAATTTGCCAGGATATACATTTCACAAATAAATTAGTACTGTAACTAAATTCATTTTTACAACAAGAAGTATGCAGTCAACATGTGGTAAAGAAATTGGAAGTACACTACGTTTTATCGTAGTAAAGTGTAACCGTACACTTTATACAACCCAGCTTTATTTCTGGGTTGTACCTAGCAGTAAAATAGGTACCTGGGTGTTAGTTAGTTATTTATGTGCTGCTTCCTGGGGGTGGAGGCCTGGTGGAGGACCAGGCTGCGGGGACACTAAAGCCCCGAAATCATCTCAAGATAATCTCAAGAAGATACATGCCACTATGCATGGGTTTGTAGTAGACAGAGAAAGAGAACCCGGACACAATGCTGTGAACGTGAACATCAAGAAAAGGAAGGAGGGAATTAGATTCCCATTCAACTTTGAAATGGATAGGAGCCAATTTGTTAAGATAGGAGAGGAAAGGCTGGAAAAGACTAATGTCATGAGGCCATAAAGCAAAGATGTCATCAACATAGCACAGCTAGAGAGAGGGATGGTTATCAATAGAAGGAAGAAGAACAGTTTCGAAGTATTCCATGTAGAAATTGGCAAGAACAGGGAAGAGAGGGGAACCCATAGCGACACCGAAAGTTTGAGTGTAATATTTACCGTTAAAAGAGAAAGAGTTAGAGTCAACACAGAGTCTAATGAGTTCGAGGAAAACGTCAGTGGGAAGCGGGAGAGGAAGAAGGCCCTACTGGGCTTTGATATATACCTGCCTTCTTTTTTTTAAGGTGGATTAGGACATGGTTATTTCAAAAGAAACAAGAGTTAGTATAAATCGGAGTCAGTTAAATCTGGGCAGGAGCCATTGAAAGTGGAGTGCCCCAGGGATCTGCCTTTGGACCTCCGTTCTTCATTATTCACTCCAGTATATATATCTAAATTTAGATACAGGACTAAACAGCAACATTTGCCAGTTTGTTTAGACAATACAAAAATAGCAGGAAAAATAAATTAAGAAAAAGATTTAGAATAGCTGTGATTGATATTATTATTATTATTATTATTATTATTATTATTATTATTATTATTATTATATATATATATATATATATATATATATATATATATATATATATGTCGTACCTAGTAGCCAGAACTCACTTCTCAGCCTACTATTCAAGGCCCGATTTGCCTAATAAGCCAAGTTTTCCTGAATTAATATATTTACTATAATTTTTTTCTTATGAAATGATAAAGCAACCCTTTTCTCTATGTATGAGGTCAATTTTTTTTTATTGGAGTTAAAATTAACGTAGATATATGACCGAACCTAACCAACCCTACCTAATCTAACCTAACCTATATTTATAGGTAAGGTTAGGTTAGGTAGCCAAAAAAAGCTAGGTTAGGTTAGGTTAGGTAGGTTAGGTAGACGAAAAAACATTAATTCATGAAAACTTGGCTTATTAGGCAAATCGGGCCTTGAATAGTAGGCTGAGAAGTGCGTTCTGGCTATTAGGTACGACATATATATATATATATATATATATATATATATATATATATATATATATATATATATATATATATATATATATATATATATATATATATATAACTTTAGAACACTTTCCCACCAGGAGACTCGAACCCTAGCCAGCACAGAAGCCTTCCAGCAACTGGCATAACAGGTACGCCTTAACCCGCTTATATTATATATATATATATATATATATATATATATATATATATATATATATATATATATATATATATATATATATATATATATATATATATATATATATATATATATATATATATATATATATATATATACCTATATATACCTATATATACCTATATATACCTATATATACCTATATATACCTATATATACCTATATATACCTATATATACCTATATATACCTATATATACCTATATATAATTATATAGCTAGCTAGCTAGCCTTTAAAACATGAAAAATTAGGAAATGCACAGTTTAATGCTGACAAATATAGAGCTCTGAATGTAGGAAATTATAATAGTTACCAGATTGTAGTTGGGCAAAGATGAAATTATCAAATTTGAAGGTAAAAAAGATCTTGGACTCATGATTACTTTCAATCTTAAGCCAAACAATTACTGTATGTATAGATGGAATAAGGCAAATATGATACTGGGATTTATATCTAGAAATATTAGCAATAAGACACCAAATGTTGTTCTTCAGTTTTATCTTGCTCTTGTTAAGCCCTACTTAGATTAAAAACTTCAGTTTTTGGTCTCCATACTATCTTGAGATGGTTATCTTAAGATGAATTCGGGGCTTAGTGTCCCCGTGGCCTGGTCCTCAGCCAGGCCTTCTTTTTGTTACACATCCCCAGGAAGCAGCCTGTAGCAGCTGTCTAACTCCCAGGTACCTATTTACTGCTAGGTGATCAGGGTGAAAGAAACTCTGCCCATTTGTTTCCGCCTCCACTGGAGATCGAACCCGGAACCTCAGGACTATGAATCCGAAGCGCTGTTCACTCAGCTGTCAGGGCCCTATATGGATATGAATTTACTAAAACGTGTTAACCAATTCTCGTGTTTAGATAGTAGTTTTTGTGACTATGTGTACAAAGATTGCCATTCTAAGCAATTAGATGGTAGAAGTTTGTACTATTTACTTTTAGAGTTGGAAAAAATGAGGCTAAAAAGTAATTTAAATATTTCTAGGCCTAGTATAGCACACACACGTACTATATTACTATATTAGGCCTTATATATCACGTATTAGGCCTAGGAAGGATAGGTTTGTTTAGTTTGTCTTTGCAACATAAGTAGAAAACAGTTTTCTGGTTTGTCCAACTTAAAAGTGCCGATTTCTACTAACCAATTTCGTTGTATGTCGGTACAGTATATATAATATAGTCCTCATCGTTACTATAAGTACAGTACTACCAAAACAGGAGGATGAGCTGAATGTGTACAGTGAAGGATAAAGTTAATCCCAGGAAGTAAAACCTTCCTAATAAGGAAAGTAAAGAATCTTAATTTAAATTCAATAACAGGTGAAGAGTAGGGGTGTTATGATTGAAATACAAATTAATAAAATTGTAAAATAATGGGGATACTGTATTAATTAATAAGGTGTTAAAAATATCAATACAAAATAGAACTCATAACAATGTATGAAAATTGCAAAAGTTTAGATTAAAAAAACAGGGGGAAAATATTGGTTTATAAATGGGGGTCGGTGATTTATGGAACAAATTACCAAGTAAAAACTGAAGTGTGATTGATGGATTGTTTCAAGCAATGGTTAGCCATTTAAATAGGAGTTTTGCTGGATTTAAACTGGAGCTACCTTGCATTGGTCATTGGCCACATGCAGATTTTTTTTTATTCTTATCACCACCTTTATTCTCAGTGTACTTAAATTTAATACAAAAACACTTTGAACTGCAAAACATGAAGTTCTGCCCCATAGCAAATTCTTTATCAACAGGCATTTTCTTTCCTTACCTGCCTTATTTTCTTTCACTCCTCTTGCAACAAACTCAAAATACTTACCATACCACAGCCAGGCTGGGGACATCCAAAAGGTTTATCAACCTCTCCCATGACTGAAACTGGATTAAGGCCTCATTAAGACTTTCCTCCAGGATACTGGATAAGTCTGCAGGACTTGGACCAGTAATGTTGGGAGCCTGCGTGGCCCAACTGGAGTTTAACAAATTGTCAAAACCGTGCCAGTGTGGTTCTTTTCAGGATTCTGAAAAAAAAAATGAAACGATTAACTAAGTAATTTTCATTTATATGTTAAAAAATTAAAAATTAGCTATGTGAATATTTACTTATACTGTAGTATAATTTTAGATGTTTTATTTAATTGTCATTAATTTGCTTTGTTGTGTTGATTATTTTGTCTTTAGCACATATTTTATTTTTGTGAAATTTTCAGTTACTGTGAGAGCACTCATACCTCCATTGTGTTTTCCCTGGTGTTAGTGTCACCTCACCTCACATTATTCAAGCATTTTTAATAATGCTTGAATAATTCAAGCATTATTATTATTATTATTATTATAGCAAAATAAAAAATAGGTAATTGTGTAGATGATGATTGAGGTTACAGTATTGCTGTTTGGGGGATACAGCACTGTCTTCAATGTATACAGTATTTATATTATGAGGGCAGTGAAGTACAGTACCATGGTTAAAATGGATACTCCACTGGTTACAGTCTTTGAAGAGTGCTAGGTCTATAATGAAGTAAATAATTATCAAAAGAAGGCACCAAGCTGGGGAGACTATGTAGCATGAGGTTATGTTACTCCTGAGCATAAAGACTTTCCCAATACCTTTCACATTTCATCAGTGCCTAAAATAATACTACCCTTGAAATCTAGCAAACACAGACTCAATAGCTACTGTTGAATAACAAATACCACTTAACATGTCTAAAATGATGATATTTTGTTTCTTAACAAAAGAATTCCATCCAAGTTTCATTTGTTTGACCAGTTCCAAATCAGCAAGAGTCAGATGCCGTATACCTGAGTATGTTTGGTCACATCGGTAAAAATTCACCTTTCAGAAAAACGCTAAAACAACACAACATAAGACTTCCAAAGAGGCCAAATGTGCGTCTCAACAGATTATGCAATATACCAGCCCAGCCCACCTTACACGTCAGCCAACTCAGCTCCGTCAATGTTGCCCCCAAAACCACACTCCTCTGACACACCACGCTCTCTTGTACACATGAATTAGTAGTGACAAGTGTGTGTGTGTGCTTTTACGTGTGACCTGTTGTGACCTTACCATGGTGAAGGCCTCTGAGAGTTCATATCGCGTGAACTTGTATGACGTAGCAGCCCCGTGCTTTGTTTACCTCCCGCCGCCCCTCACTAACACTCACGACACTCTACCGAAACTTTTTCCTCTCACACCCCCAACAAGAAATACCTTCAAATCATCACAAATTGCGCTTTAAATATAATTATTTACATTGATATGCACCCTTTATACATATAAAGCTATCGTTGATGAGCAAGCTGCTCGGCCAGCAACTGCTGGACTCCATGTATGACTAACCATCCTGTGAGATGTGAATATTAATTAGATGGACTTTTGCTAGTTATTTATCTACACCGTGTAATCTTTCATATAGAATAGGGTAACAGCACATTGCTGTGTATACCTAAGCTCGTTAAAAAAAACTGGATTTTTAAATACTGTAAACGAATAAATACAAAAAAAATAAAAATAATTGTTGTTTTATTAACAAGCTTAGGTATACACAGCAATGTGCTCTTACCCTATTCTATATGAAAGATTACACACTGTAGATAAAAAAACTAGCTTTAAGTTCATCTACCATCACTCTTTTTGAATATTGTGACTACATTGGCCGTCTTCCGTATATTTGCTAAGTCTCCCGTTTTTTTTTTTTAATATTAAGCCACCCAAGAGGTGACACGGGCATGAATAGCCCATAAGTGGCTGATTTTTTGTTTAGTAAATGTATACTGTGTGCTGAGGTCGTATATTACTGCCCGAAACGCTTTGCGTAATAGTGGCTTTAGGCATTGTATGTACTAGCTCTTATCTATAAAGCCAACAAACTTTGTAAATTCTCTTTATGTATGTACCTTTGCCTAAATAAAAATTATTATTATTATTATTATTATTATTAAACTGTCAGGCTGTAAGTCTTCCGTCTCCAGTGACCTACTATATACCATGGAGTTTCTGCACATCCTTTCAGTACCCATGGTGAGATTCCATCCGAACCAACACGTCCAACACGTGATCTTTCACGTCCAGATCCAACAGATCTGGAGGACAAATCTGCGTCTCAGCCTCATCTCTGGTAATTCCGAACCCTTCCAAGGCCTCCTGGTTTACTGCCATGTCTCCTAGCTCAAGGCCTTCGCCTCGTTCTATTGTGAAGACCTCCTGGAATCTCTTGTAGAGTTCTTCACATACCTCTTTGTCATTCTCTGTGTACCTGTCCTCACTTGTTTTAAATTTCCTCACCTGTTCTTTTACTGTTGTTTTCCTCCTAATATGGCTGTGGAGCAGTTTTGGTTCTGTCTTGACTTTAATTGCTAAATCATTTTTATACGGTCTCTGCTTCTCTTCTCACACTGACATACTCATTCCTGTCTCTCTGGTATCTCTCTCTGCTTTCTGCTGTTCTGTTCTGTTCTGTTATTTCGGAAATTCTTCTCACACACACACACACAACAACAACAAGTTAGGTGAGATGGTGGAGGCCAAGACCGTCAGTAGTTTCAAAGCATTATATGACAAAGAGTGCTGGGAAGACGGGACACCACGAGCGTAGCTCTCATCCTGTAACTACACTTAGGTAATTATAATTACACTTAGGTAATTACACACACACGCACAAAAAAATACATACACCAGTGTGTGTGTGTACTCACCTAGTTGTCTTGCGGGGGTTGAGCTTTGTCTCTTTGGTCCCGCCTCTCAACTGTCAATCAACTGGTGTACAGATTTCTGAGCCTACTGGGCTCTATCATACCTATATTTGAAACTGTGTATGGAGTCAGCCTCCACCACATCCCTTCCTAGTGCATTCCATTTATTGACTACTCTGACACTGAAAAAATTCTTTCTAACGTCACTGTGGCTCATCTGGGTACTAAGTTTCCACCTGTGTCCCCTTGTTCGTGTCCCACCCGTGCTGAAGAGTTTGTCTTTGTCCACCCTGTCAATTCCCCTAAAAATTTTGTAGGTGGTTATCATGTCTTTCCTTACTCTTCTGTTTTCCAGGGACGTGAGGTTCGGCTCCTTTAGCCTTTCCTCGTAACTCATTCCTCTCAGTTCCGGGGCGAGCCTGGTGACATACCGCTGAATCTTCTTTTTGTCCTGTGTTTAACTAGGTATGGACTCCAGGCTGGAGCTGCATATTCCAGGATTGGTCTGACATAAGTGATATACAGGGTCCTGAACGATTCCTTACACAAGTTTCTAAAGGCAGTTCTTATGCTGGCCAACCTAGCATATACCGCTGATGATATTCTTTTGATGTGGGCCTCTGGGGACAGGTTCGGTGTGATATCAACCCCCAGATCTTTCTCTCTATTTGACTCTTGCAGGAGTTCACCTCCCAGATGGTACCTTGTGTTCAGCCTTCTGCTCCCTTCGCCTGTGTGTGTGTACTCACCTATTTGTGCTTGCGGGGGTTGAGCTTTGGCTCTTTGGTCCCGCCTCCCAACCGTTAGTCAACTGGTGTACAGATTCCTTGGCCTACTGGGCTCTATCATATCTACATTTGAAACTGTGTATGGAGTCAGCCTCCACCACATCACTGCGTAATGCATTCCATCCGTTAACTACTCTGACACTGAAAAAGTTCCTTCTAATGTTCCTGTGGCTCATGTGGGTACTCAGTTTCCACCTGTGTCCCCTTGTTCGCGTCCCACCAGTGTTGTACTGAATGGGGTGAGAATAGCTTGAGCTACCTCATCCCTTTGTGTGTATTTTACCTCAATAAACTTATTTCAATTTCAAACCAGTGTTGAATAGTTTATCCTTGTTTACCCGGTCGATTCCCCTGAGGATTTTGCAGACTGTGATCATGTTTCCCCTTACTCTTCTGTCTTCCAGTGTCGTGAGGTGCATTTCCCGCAGCCTTTCCTCGTAACTCATGCCTCTTAGTTCTGGGACTAGCCTAGTGGCTAGCCATATGTTATGTCCATTCATCCACTTGTAAACCTCTATCGTGTCACCCCTCTTCGATTGTGCCTACAATATCGGACAGACATTATCTTTAATAGATATAGATAAAAAATTGAAGATAAGCAGTATTAATAATAATTATAGTTATCACACGTGAAGTAATAATTCTCTCTTATTGGGAAAAATCTTGTAAAAACTGTAAGAATTCTTCCCAACAAGAGAGAATTATGACCATGTGTAATAACCATTACATATAATTATAGTTTTATATAGAATAAGAATTGTACAAAAAAGAATGTTGAAATTTAAATATGTTTAAGAGAATGTTTGTTTATCCGAGGTTGTAGGCACAATTCGGATGTTACAAATCTCAACCAGTATATTTCTATGCAATTTTACTCTTTGTTCTTCCTTAAAATACATGTTTTAATAATCGAGAATGCGGTTTCAGGATGGAATATAGAAGCGTGTATAAGTTAATTTTGCTGAAAGGACCAATTTTGACAATGATGTGTCTTTGACGTGTCGTTAAGCAGTGTCGCACTCATTTGATACAAAAAATATGTATTGTATCAATAACGCGCGCTTTAGTAGTAATAAAAATATGTAAACAAAGATCGCAAGATCACGTGGTGAGCGCGCACTGAAGTCAACAAACCCACGTGCTTCTGTTTACATCAGGAGGCTGAGGGTCAAGGTGGCCACAACGCCGTAAATTAGACCTGATCACCATGACGTGTAGCCTTAACATTATATAGTATATACGACAACTGGCCGTTCATCTTAGCTTTAAATATTTCGTTCCCCATCAATTTTGTTTTCGATTTTATTCCATGATGTCGTAAATTTTTATAATGCTTAAAATTTCGAGAGCGCTGCGTGCTCTGTGATATGATGTGGTTGCCTACGATGTGTGGGATACATCAGCACAGCATAAATGGGTAAGCGTTCACTGATCGGTGGATTGTCATTGGATTTATACCAAACTTGCTCCTACAGCTACGACTTAGACTAGGATATGTTCAGTCATAGGAGTACACAAGTGGATGATACTCATGG